TTCCTATTTTGGGAGACTCTTGAGATAAACTACCCTTCGCCTCTCGATAACCCTTTGAATATGAACGGTTTGACATTATGGCATCATTTGGTGTCTCTGGAGAGATGCCACCACGCTGAGTCACTGAAAAGAGCTTGCATGTTTCAACGGCACCAATTTACGAGACAAAATAAATTGATGTACACGAGATGGGCGAGATGATCCAAGTGGTTAGAGCGCAAATTTACTGACCGGAAGGTCCGTGGTTCGAACCCGACCTCTACCTCTCGACTTACCCTGTCTAGGCTCTAGCAACCTGACAGTATCCCAGCCCTCGTGCAATCTTCGGGTGGCATGGCAGTTAGGCACCGGAAGGGTGTTGCAGCTGAACTATGTCCACCCCTGGAACGACAAGTACCTACACAAGTTATTCGCATAGTTCCGAACGGACTGTATGTGCGCAAATCCGAATACTTGGTTCAGCACCATGCATACAACTTAGGTTTAGTGACTGTGGAACGGAGTTATTCCTTGTTCGATTTTTCTAGACAACACATGGGAGACAATAAAGTTCTTGGACTAGTTTACTTGTTAAAACTGGCATTTCTTTTGTGTGGAAGGGTCAATGCGGTAAATAGATTGCCACGCTTGCCGACTACGAGGCAGCCTATCTTTGCACATCAGAGTGGCTTGTTGCATTCCGAGACCGACCGTGTAACTGAATAATCAAAGGGATGGCATTCCAGGGGGGTCCCGGAAACGCGGTCGTAGCGTTATATTTTTCTTCACTCGCCTTTTTCAAAAAAGGCCGAGAAACACTGGACATGCGTTTTGTCTTCACAGGGAATCATCATCAGCACGTAGCTGACGAAATTCCAGTAGGTAGATTTGAACCCGGGGCCTCTTGGCTTGCAGTTTAAAAACTCGGTAGTCAGGCCACGAACAGCTGAACATCTCTGTGATAAGCTCCAGTTTTGACAAGATATGGTACCAGGTTTTATGTCTCATAAAAGTGACCTTAATTGTTCCTGTCGCAAACCCTGAGGCTCTTTGTTCTAACTTGTTGACGATCGTTCAACTCTGTATCGGTCCCTTGGCCTCCTGCTCCGCCCATTGTGGCATATCAAAAGGCATGGTCGCTCTACACAGCTCTTTATGGAGACGAAGGAAAGTTATTAGAGCTGTATTTCTAGGGTAATCACAGTGTTCCACAAGGTCGTGCTAGAATTTCCGTGAGGGGGCGAGAAGCGTCCGGTCAAAGATGCTCGATCCCGATTGGCTGGCATTCTGACCAATCAGAGCGTGCCGTGTCCTGCACGCGGCACATCCGTCCAGATGATGTGATGTTCAGTTATTCGGGACGGCTGGCCTCCGGACACTGCCGACCAGCCACAGTAGCGTCCCGGCGACACTGTCAGCAACCACATCATGCTTTCAAACGGACACTCATGACAGACCTTCACCTGGAGCCTAATTCTAGGTATGAACGCCAGAAGCAAAGGTCTACTGTGGCGCAAGAATAATTGTGTCCACACTACCCCATTTTATTGATCGACAATCATGCAAATTACCTCGCTTACGTTTTACCTAAAACCCCTAGCCACTTACTCCTGTGTCCCAGGTGCATAGACGCAATTAAACAACCCACTGAATTTTCATACCGGGAGCTGTGGTAGTGTAACAGTCAGATCCCTCCTATGTTGAGAGTTAAAGGGACCGCTTTAACGATGACAGAACAGAGTAACAAGCTAATCCACACTTCCACCACTTTTCACGCTAATCAGGCTATTTGGTGACCCGACTAAGCTTAGACATGCATACTCAGCGTCTCTGTACCACCTGTCGGGGTACACGCTAGCCGCGGGTTTGTTCGCTGAGTTGAAGCTGTCTTCTAACCGCACATTCCCCCTCACAACGCACTGTCTCCCCGACTGGTGATGTGACGTTTGTCACTAGGTTGCTCACCTCAGAGAACAAACCAGCAGTATAAAACGGACTACCGCTGTTCTCTTCATCTGTGCACACTTTCCATCGATATGGACGTTCATTCATCGCTGTTATGAGACGTTAATCCTGTGGTCAAACGACCTGTTATTGGAGCCACAAGTGATCAGGTTGGTTCATCCATTTATGGTTCCAAATGATGGGTGCTTCTACAATTTTAGGCGGTTTCTGTATTCAATCTGTTGGCCTTGAACGCTTACTGCCCTGTTGTTCATGGGGTAGATGTTCACGTCACAGCGGACTTGTTTTATTCGTGAATGTGTCTGGATGATCCCTACTTGAAGCAACTTCAAAAAAGCCATAAAACCGTATTGTTTGCAGTGGTCCTTACTCGATAAAGTGTGGGGCGAGAGGTGAGCTTACTAGCTGCTACGTGCCACATCTGAAAATATTTGGACTTTAAAGTAAACAGACTTTTCTAATCTTTCCGATTTGTAGAGCATTCCTTATTTCAGAATCACTTTGAGGTGTGTTTTTTATACCCTCCAGATAACTCGGAGAAGAAACCCAAACCCAAACTGATTATCAAAAAAGAATTCACGCGGCAACTTCCGATGAAATTATCAACCATTACTATACGCTTCCCGGAAGCTGTAGAAAAGGTATCCGTGGATAAAGGTGTGACAGCTGACGTGGATCGATCGGTAAGTACGTGTCAGATCTGTTGGTTATGCATCAGGAAGCATTTTTGACACGGTCACGTGATGCCCGTTTACACACGTTCTTCAGCAAATACTGCTTGGGCCCAAAAAATCAAAGAGCACGAATATGTCAAAGAATTCAAACTGACTGATAGTGCAACAGAGGTTTTTGCAAATAAGTGATTTCATTCAAATTTATCGAACAACCGGCTAGTCTTGTACAATATTCCGGTGCAAACATGAACTCAGTTCAATGGGGTAACCATCAGTAATGTGTCCAAGAGGAGAGAACTGACATCAAAACTCCCCTCTGGCTAGATGTTCAATACCACTATCTGGTGGAAACAGCTATTTTGTTCACCTTGGATAAAATATATCCTTCCAGAATGCTTTGTTGAACACTGCTTAATTTCAGTGCATCAAAAATACGACCATTTACACGAACTCGTTTGGCTACCAGTTTAACGGTGATACTACTGATGGGGGAGGAACGCGAGTAGTATGTTTTCTCGTAAATCCGCTTTGCGTCTCTTGAAAAGTGAGAGATCTATTACGGAATTTGTGGAGTCGCTTTGTAGCATTTGCCTGGATTTCAGCAACAGCCAATTACTATCCAGGAAAGTCCGGGAAGACGCGTTCAAAGTGGAGATAAATATTCAGTTTTTGTAAACAAGATGCATATGAGTGTTTTGCTTCTCTGTCCAGTAGTCTGTAACTGTCCGGTTGGCATTTTCTAATGAAAACCGCAGCGAAAGCCTTCTTCCTTCCACCAGATCTGCTAATTCGGTTAGCTTTAAATAAGGACAACCAGGCTATCGTACGAAGGATACGAGGAGCGTGTGAGACAGCTGTCTCCCTTGTAGAATTGCCATTTGGGCGTATGCTAGGTCGTCCCACCGCATCCGTAACGGAACCTTAGGCCTCACAGTTAACGGTTGATCTTCTGTCTTGTACCTTATGCCGGACCCAACCGAGGGTCCTCCCCCTTTACGAGCAATTATTCCATCTAGTGTTCTGTCTGAGATGCCTCATGATCCAGTTATATTTCTAACAAATCTGATCGCTATTCATTAGAAGAACTTTCATCAATTTTCGTAATGCACTACTCATAAGGTTGCTGAAAACCCGTCACCATCAGTTTTGTATTCCTTAGATGCGACACGTGTCGCATTGGTTTATGGGTGCTTGAAACAGTATCATCCAACCAAAAAAATATTGTTGCTTGGGATGTTTGTCACTTGATTCCTCGGTTATGTAAACTTTTAAAGTCAAAACACAGCATAGTGAACATTTTGGTTGCTGTGGCAAATCGTTCTCCAAGGTTTCTCCAATCATAGTTTTCAAATGGTAGAACACACCGCCAACGTGATTTACTGCTTTAAACTCAACTGACTCTGTTGCTTTTCGCTCTGTCCTTCTTGTGTTTCTTTTGCTCATTTCGACTTGTGTAAAGCTATTGTCTGCCTTCCTGTTGTCTGGTTTGCCATTGGTTCGTTCACCCCCAAGTTTTGGATAGTTTATGTCCTTTGTTCCTATTGGTTCATTCACACTGCGTTCTGTATTCATGCACACAACTGATTGGTCTACACAAATTCTCCATTGACAGTTCCTGTTATTTGATCCGTTGGGTTCTTTCCTATACTGGTCTTGTTCCGCTTGTCTGTTGGAAGTTTTTCTTTCTGGTCTGCTGTTTTTTGACCTTGGATTTATTCCGGCTCAAAGTTTGATGGTTCTCGATTTCCTTTTTTGACCTCAGGGATTGAAAGAAGAACGGAAGGTCCGTGGTTCGAACCCGACCTGTGCTTCTCGAATTCCCCTGTCTAGGCTTGGGCAACCTGGCAGTATCGCAGCCTTTGTGCTTCCTTTAGGTAACATGGCAGTTACGCACAGGGAGAGTGTTACAGCTGAACGATTACTATTATTTCAAACTTATTCGAGATAGTTGTGCAATGCTTAAAGCTGTCTCAAGAGTCAAGCCACTTGAGACTTAAATAAAAAAAGTACCTACCAAATGTTTAAAAATGTATATCCACCCAGCGGACCGGCTGAATCCGAGGCGGCCAGTCCCCATGAGCTTGTACTCTTACTATTTCTCGAACGCAACCTTTATTCTCTCAGGGTCTACAGCCGGCATCTTGTCTTTATCAAAAGGTGGACCACTCGAAATCGCTTCTGTCTCGGTTGAATGAACAACGCCAGTAAGTTTCGCATACGTACATTTATGCCGATCTTTTTATTAAGGCGACTGACCCCGTCAATCTAGTGTATGAATCAACTAACTGACAACTTGCTCCATAGATGAATTGTTCGCGACCCTCAATCTTTCAAGCCGTCATAGGATTTGCCATGTTGGTCATTTTTATTCAGAAAGTTGGATGCAATAGTACAAGCTGTCAGAAGACATTCCTTCACAATTTTGTTCACTTTGTAAGGACCAGTCTTGTCTACAACCTTGAAACCACGTGATACCCCTCTGAGAAGATTCAGTCCTGTAATCCGGTGAGAATGATATCACAACAACATCGTGAGATGCTTCAGTATGCACTTTTTTGTTGCTGTGTGAATGATAAACATGGTTCCTATGGGTTGAATGCATGAATCAACCTAGGTCATTTGGTCTCTGGCGGTTGCAAACGCTGTCCAGATCTCGTGTAATCAACAGAAAAGTAACGGGTTTGTCTACAACTGTCTTGAAAGAGGAATGACTCACTTGTAATGCACTACTCATAAGGTTGCTGAAAATTCGTCGACAACCCACGACCGGTTTCGCCCTTCTCGGGGCTCATCAGGTAGGCGCAGTCCCCGGGTTTCCGGCAACCTTATGTTCTACTTGAAACCAAATTGCACGAACTTAGCGAATATTCACTCATTTGCAAACTAACTTGATTTCAAGTAGAACATAATGTTGCCGGAAACTCGGGGACTGCGCCTACGTGATCAGCCCCAAGAAGGGCTAAACCGGTTGTGGGCTGTCGACCAATTTTCAGCAACCTTATGAGTAGTGCATCACATACATGTATCGCGATATCTCGAATATCGTTGCGACTAAAACATGAGGCGGTCTGGTGCAGCGCATTCAATTGCCTGGAAACATCACAAACGGGAGATTTAGCTGGGTTCCAGGCGAGTCTCTCGAAAAATCAAATTAGTTTGTAAATGCGTGTATTTCGCTAAGAATGATTCACGTATCTTGGGTGCCTTTGATGTTTGGCACAGTTCCTACGAATATCAAGCAGAAACCATTCGCGAGTGTAGGATTTGGTCGGAGAAGTCATTCAGAAGGCTAATTTGGTGTAAGCGGGTGGACTCGTTAAATCTGTGAGCTTCGACCCACACTCTAACAAAATCTAACAAAAGCTTACTATCGTGTGATAAGGATGGGGCGATAGTCAAGTTCCTTGTACGAATAAATGTGTGCTAAAATAAGACTTTTTAATCACTGACCAGTTGTCAAATGAATGCCACTTTGTTTTCGGGTGACCGTTGCTGATGTTTATCTGACAGCGCGTATAAATTCCAGTTTTAGAAATTTTGCATTTTTTCGTGAACTCAGCACGTACATGCCACAAATTGCTAGGTTGATTGAGATCAAAGCGGAAAGTTAGCCATCTCACAAACTGTGTACAACGGAACGGAAGTCAGCTAATTATGTGATGAGACATCTGAACCACGGCGTTACCTAGATGGAATGTCTCATTTTCCTACTTACTCTAGCGATGACTGACGATAAGGAATGTCTTCATGTCTGAATGTAGGCTAGAAGCTCGTCTAGCACTCAGTAACGATGATTCACTCATAGAGATGATATATGACAATTTAGAAAACAGATATACTCAACATTATCGTCGGCATTCATTACAGTTACTAGGCCGTTTGGGGAGATGTCTTCTCTAAAGTGCCACATCTGTTTATCAGCTTTGTTCTACCGGTCACCTGGCAAAGGTGATCTCGACTGAGTCGAACAGCTTTGGAACGTACTAGAACAACTTTACAAATCTGAAAATTATGTTGACGGCTACTTGTGAATCAGGATAGTATAACATATCTAAAGTATAGCAAAACAAATGATAGATATCATTGAAAATCCCATCAATTGTGACGATAAGTCAGGATTGCCCTCAAATTTTGTTGCATTATGCATTTTTGTCTTTTGTGTAAGCTTCTTTAAACACTGATCATGATTACTGGCAAGCAGAAAACTTTGCACCCCGTTCCCGGTCATTTGAATTTTGTTTTAAAACCTACGTTCTATCCCATGGCTCATTTTTATCGCGTTAGTTTTCATGACCAATGAGGTGTCCCATTTGCTTCGCCTAACGCAGCATAAACGCACGTGACTCACACAGCCCGAGTAACGCTTGATGAAAAAATCGATTTTATTTTATTGATTGAGAGCGCGGCCTCACTCAACTCTGCCTCATCACTTCAAATGTTTTAAACAGATGCTGTAACATCAGACATTCCAGTATGATGTTTTTTTTATGCCGAACTATCATTCGAATCGATTTTTAAAAAGACACAAGTCAATTATTACATCCCTAATTCACTTTTTTCTTAAAAAATTGTTCTAGGCGGAACCAACTTTGCGACGTGATTTTCCAGGTGGGACCGAAGCAAATCAACGCACACAGGGCTGTTTTAGCTGCCGGTTCAGATTACTTTTCTAATCTGTTCAAAGAAAATACGAACGATACCCGTTTGGGGACATTGACAGTTCCAGAGTTTGACGAAGCCGTGTTCACCAGCCTCATTAACTTCTTGTATACTGGCGGTAAGTGATTCACTAATGAATTCCGGTGTATTTGGTCACTTTGGTTTCTACTTGCTACTGGTGAAGGCCGTCCACCTCTTGGGTAGACCGGTGATCGACAAAGCCAAAACATTAAATAGGTTACCTTGCACATCGTCGGGTAAAAGCGCCGGAACACTGCTTGGTTCGGGTGTATCCAGGGTGTGGTGGTTAGACCAGCTAAAAGTCAAAATTGCTAGTTTCCAAGCCTTCGTTGCCCTATCAAATAGGACTAACCGATACCTGTCGTCAGGTCAACAACTCGGTTGATAGATGAAATTGATTTATTCGCCGAACGTTGCGGTGTCTGATTGGACTCTTCATTCATGTTTGATAAGTCCGGATCGGAGAGGCCTCGCACCGCACAGTATTTGGTCGATTGCGGGAAGTGTAAAAGTTGGACGCCAACAAACTAACTAGCGGCCCCGGGGTTTTCAAAGCCGCATTTTTTGAGGAAAAAATATTGAATTGGAGTGGTGTGGCGCGGCGCGTACACTCACTATTCTACTGACGTGCCAGAAAGGATGAAGAGTGAAGGGTGAAGAGTGCGAACAGATGACGGTATCAAACATATCGGTATATTGGGCAAAAATATTTCAAACTAGTCCTCATCTCTCTGACTGGAACAACGTTCAGAAACGCGTGACTGAGTTTCGATGAATCAACCGGCTGGATTGGAAGTGCTACCACAGGAAACTATTTTTTTGAATTTACGCTTAAGGCTGGTGTGAAGGAGGGATTATTACAACCTTGTCAAGGTGACCCGAGGGGTGTTTGCTTCTCTTGAAGAAACTACACTCGCTTTCATTGATAAGGGAAAGCCCAGACGAGGACGGCAAGTTTGTACAGATGGATGAAACAGATTTCGATATGTCTTGTACCCGATCCGATGGACCAGCGAGCGAGCTCCGGTGTACTCAGTATTCGAGATAGAACTTACACCTCGCTGGTGCGTTATTTCTCGATGACCGAGTGGGATTCGGTGGTAACCGAGTGACCATAAACAAAGATTGCAAGTAGTGCATGAGGATGTTGCTCTTTTTTGCTTGTTAGCAGTCCTGACAAACCAGTCAATGTATACAGTAATGCTCCGTACCGTCGGAGGAGGTGTGCTCGATAAACCTTGAATGTGGTATGTTGGTGCACCTGGTTCTACAGGCGAGCACCTAATCCGATCGAAGTTGAGTGTGCTTAACGAACTGAACCTATATCACGGTCGTGCGGATTACGTGTGACTAAAACGGCAAGATTCATGGGGGTCCGAAGTTGCAGCTGATGAAGAGAGAATGGCGCTGCGGTGCCAAACTCCCGTTCGAGACTGTGTGAATATCTCCACAAGATTTCGCTTTTCATGAGAGTAGTCGGTACCGAATCAGCATAAACGTCGGGCTGATGGGTCACCTTCGTCCATCCGGTGGGCGTGCTCTGTTCTACCTGACCATCACTCACGTTCCATCTGCAAGTACTGCAAAATTTGCGAACCAACTCCACCTGTTTTTTCATCTACATTAGTTAACTCCTCGTCTTCTTCATCACAGTTTTCCACCAACTCAGTCGTACGCTAGAAGACTCTTAGGCGGAATTCCACACGGATCCCCCTTTACCACTGGCATTCAGGTGCTGCCATGGCCGAGAAGTCCATCTCACGCAAGATTGGGCAAGAATTCGGGACGCTTGTGGGTCCGGCATCAAGACGAGATCTGATTGGTCGAAAGTCCGGACCCAACAGCCAATCATGACCCAGTATTGGCCGAATAGCGGTTGCCAGTGCCGCATCCAGAACGTATCAGAATTTCCAGGCTATATCTATGATGCACTGTACAAGTACTCTTGACTCGGCTTTGTGCGTTACTATACCTTGTGAACCTTTGGTGGGTGTTTTGACGTGAACGCTAGTTTGGGAAGCTCAGAACGAGAACTAAGCTGAGAAAAATAGCGTTACTACCAAGACGTTCACCTTAACACATTATGCGCTTTTCACCACCCCCAAGCAATCTAAATGTCTGTTAGGTGTCCGAATTTGGGTCACCAAACAGGTAGATCAGTCAGCTGATTTTTGGCCGAACCGTAATGTCGGTTTACTCGAGTTCACTAGGGGAATTCCAAAATACGTTAAGAAAAGATGACGTAACTTTCCAGACATTCCCACGATACGGGGGCCGTTTTTTGACGAGAGCCACACTTTTCTTTCGAGGTGGACAAATCGATTGTTTATTCTGTTGTTGATGCATTTCATGTGCGTATTTCTAAGCCACCCAACTGTGTTTTTCTTTCGCGCGTTCCTATTTTCACAGAAATCTGCGTGACCACAAGTACGGTGCAGAATTTGTTGGCCACTGCAATGGTTTTCCAAATTGAAGAGGTTCAAAAAGTCTGCTGGGAATTCATGCAACTGCGACTGTGCGCCGCGAATTGTTTGAGCATACTTCGTTTTGCTGATCTACTACAGAATACGGACTTGGTGAAAGCTTGCTTGCTTTTTGCTGGACAGTCTTTTGAGTAAGTTGTCACGTCTGACAGCTTCTTGCTACTCGCAAGATATAAGTATTTTTTCAAGAGCACGCATGAGTTTTGCGGGCTGCTAGATACCCTCAACCAGTCGGAACCGGAAAACATGGCATATCGCTGTATTGCGAATGCCGCTAAGTGAAGCGTGTAGATTCAATTCTATGGTGCTGTCAATCAGTTTATCGTGACCTGAAGCAGGGTGAAGCAAAAGTTCAATAGAAATGACCGGTTTCTAGGCGCAAACTCAACAGAATCTCCCGTTGATAAGATGGAGTTACGGGGTTCTGTTTCTGTCAGTAGTGAAGCAAGATGGGGCACTTTTTTAAAGGTCAAGTTGAAGGAGATGTCAGGAAAACTCTCGGCCCACGTAGGGAGTACCGTACATACTAATTTGAACGCTGAAGCAATTTAACCAGTATCGCAAAACGGCTGGTCGTGCAGGATGGTCGTTGGTTTGATCGCTGAGCTGGGCAATTTGACCACAAACGTTTCATCACCAGTCGAAGTGACACCATCAGTGCGTTGTTAGGGCGTGTAGCGGTGCGTAGCGATGGGCTGGTTGTTGTGCGTTGAGTCGTGTTGCGTGTGTGTTAATATACGTGCTGCCAGTCGGGGATGAACTCCGATCACGGTTGATTGTTCGGTCAGGCGGTTTCATTGATTGTTCTGTTATCCTGTGTCCTGGCTCATCGATGCCCACGTGACCTTTGAGCTTCACGCGCCTTCTTAAACTTTCGTGGATATTCATTGACTATCACGCAATTGTAAATGAACGCTGCAAATCGGTTCCACTGGTTCCCTGGTAAACCCCATGGGGTACAACTTGCATTAGACGTGAGGTGGAGTTACAAGAGGACCACATACTACTCGCATACCTCACCAGTAGTGTTCGCCGTTACACTAGTAATTTGTGCATTTCTCCCAAAAACAAATAAGGATCACGTGAAGTACACTCGTGTGAACACCGGGTTTGGTTTTACTCGGAGATCTTAGCGGATCCAAGTTGAATCTCTACCCTCTAGTTCATGAAGATCGAAAAATTCACCGTTACACTAGTAATTTGTGCGTTGCTCCCAAAAACAAACAAGGATCACACGAAGTGCACTCGTGTGAACACCGGGTTTGGTTATACTTGGATATCTTAGCGGATCCAAGTTGAATCTCTCGTTTCCGATCTCCTCTACCCTCTAGTTCATGAAGATCGAAAAGTCACCGAAAGACTGAGCCTTGCAGTAGTGTAACGGTTTGTATACTTCCGCGACTCATTGAGCCATACTGAAGAGTGCCCGCACGATGATCGCAGAATCTCTTATACCAGGTTAGTCGATTGTTAGGGTTTTGACCAACACCTGGCCGTCCTGTTTGGGGATTGGAACATTAGCGGAGACCTGTTCTGTAAAAATGGTAAGGCACTCGCATTTCCCGCCAAACACCGCTGTCTTGAGCTCAGGCTATTGAGCCAAAGGTTTTAGTCGAGGTGTTCTGGAAGTACTCGGGCTCACTTACCACCATCAAGGTATCAGTGTTGAACAATGACGCTATGATGACATTCTAATCTGAAAATGCGGTGATTCTCCGAAGCGTCGATTGCCTCTGAAATGTGATCAGGACGGTCTCTTCGGTGGTCCCTCTTGGGCATAGAAAGTTTTTATTTTTCATCTTGTGCACGGTACCACTTCAATTATTCCGTTTTGTTGAGGAACTCCAGATGTTTGGATTGCAGTGTTTGATCCCAAGTGGATCATTGCAGACCTACATGTCATTGCGGACCTACATGAAATTCTTTATTTCTGATCAAGACGACGAATATTTTTCACTCAGTAATTGGTTTGAGCACGAGTACTATGATACTTTTGTATGGTCTCCATTTGATTCGGTCCCAGTGCACTGATCCACACAGTTCTTTCAGCCGCTTTCTCATCCACACTCAGCTTTCGACTTCATGCAAAAAAGTTCACATGTGGCGTGCTAATTACCCGTTCATTACAGGACCAAACGTTCTGCATTCTGTCATTCTTCTACCTGAATATCTTTGAGCTAGACAGACAGACGTTAGCCGCCATCCTTCCAGTTCAGGAAGGAGGCTATCCTTGTTGGGGGTTAGGGAGAAAAACGAACCTACTTACAAGGTTGCTGAAGACCTTTCGACAACCCGCCCTTCTTGGAACCCATCAGGTAGGCGCAGTCCCAGCGTTTCCGTCAACCTTATATTCTACCTGAGCCCAAATTGAACTGATTTCGACAAGCAGATTAATTTGGTTTTCAAGCGAGACTAAACCCAGCTCAGTCTACATTGATAACCAAATAGATATGCGAATGAGTGTGAAATCTGTCCAATTCGGGTTCAAGTGGAACATAATCCCGACAGAAACGCGGTGACTGCGCCTATCTGATGATCCCCAAGAAGGGCGAAACATGTTCGCGGCTGTCGACGAGTTTTCAGCAAACTTGTGAGTAGTTTCCTTTAAATATACTGCATATCTCGAATATCGTACCAACTGAAATACGAGGCAGCCTTCATGCAGCACATTCAGTTGAAGATATCATAAACAAGAGATCCAGCTGAGGATAAATTGATATGCGAATGAGTTTTTTTGCCGTCAACAAGCCCCATAACATTGTTCACCTTTTGCAAGTAATCTCTACGTCTGATGGAGACAATCAGGTGTGAAGTTGTCCGAGAGGAAACGAACTCAAGATCTTTGGCAGTGTGAAGGCATCGGTAATGTGGCGTTCTTGTGTTGCTCTGTTTTCCCTGTGCTTGGTTATAAACGCTTCGTCACCAACCCAGGTGATCCCCTCCGGGCATACACGGCAGTTCAGAGAGCACGTTGGTGTACTGGCGTTGAACAAAGCTGCGTCTGTGCTCATACAGGTCTTGCTGATAGGCTGTCACCCGTGCTTACTACTGAGCGCTTGGACGGTCGGCCCCGTTTGCTGGTAGTTGGCCTCTTTTCTGATTGGTTGATGCCCGAGTGAGTTTTGAATTTTTCTGCCCGTGTAACGGTGATACTACTGATGGGGAGGCATGCGAGTAGTACGTGTTTTTCGTGAAATTTCGCTTTGCGTCTCTTGAGAAGGAGAGATCTGTTGCGGAATTTGTGGAGCCGCTTTGTAACATTTGCTTGGATGTGAGCAATGAATGATTGGAGTTAATGAATATCCAGGGAATTTCAGAAAGACGCGTTCAAGCGGAGGATGCATATTTAGTTCTTGTAAATAAAATGCATAAGAGAATTTTGCTTCCCTGTCGAAAAGTCTGTAACCGGTCAGTTGACATTTTCTAAGTGATAATTCCGCAACGAAGGCCTTCTTCCTTTCACCTGTACCAGATGACTCGTGACCTGTCTGTTATACCATTATAATTCTTGCCACCTGATTGCTAGTTACTTTTTCAGTGTCCACCCAAGTTTACAGTCATTTTCTTGTAATAGTACTTCGATTGGGTAAAGTCCGTTTGATTGGGTGCGTGGCAGTACGACTGTCTTTTTCACTGTTATTCAAACATGGTGAAAGTGTTGGTGACAACCTGCCTACCGGTTTGACTGATGTCTACGGGTTGTTGGTCCCTGAGCTGTCCAGGACGTTGAAGCGCTCGACGAAGACTTCAATGAAGAAAAAATTTTGATAAATGCGCGAATTCCCACAAAACTGCGTACACCTCAGACTGCCTATAAAACGTGCAGGCTCGTCTTGGCCAGCAGGAAATTCATCGTTTGCATTACGTTCTCGAGGTCATACGACTTTACTGAGTAAGCTAGTTTCATAAAGGAAACTACTCACAAGGTTGCGGGAAAATCTTCGACAGTCCACGACCGGTTTCGCGCTTCTTGGGGCTCATCAGGTAGGCGCAGTCCNNNAAATGAGTGTATTGTTTGAAGCCAGTTTCATGTTTGAACGTCGTAAAACTGAGTGGTCACCACTGAAAGTCATGAGTAGTGCATCACTGGGGAGCGCAGTCCGAACCTATGGGCAGAGGCTCATCATTGTCCTTTATCTGCGCACACGTCTAGATGGAGTCCCCGAGCCCTCAGTCGTACTAATCCTGGTTGGCTCCTGGAGTGACGGATTGCCAGAGGATGGCTAGGCTAGGGTTTGTAGATCAACCAACAGCGCGAGTAAAGCATTTGACTGTTAAAAATATCACTTTAGGTGCTCGAGAGCACCGCACCGTAATTATGTCAACATCATCAGACCAGAAAAGTTCCGGTCTGTCAACCATTTGTTAACAGAGTGACTATCTTGTTGGGGGGTGCAGAAGCTAGTTGGTCAATTACTTTTGAATCATGAGATTGAATCAGGAGATTTTGAGACTTCTCAGCCGTGATTTTGATGCTACCTAACCGCCACCGTACGCTGGCGTATAAGTTTATCGCTTATGTCGTCACCTTTGTAGAAAAAATCCTGAATTTCTGCTTTTTACACCTTTGACACACCGAATCTTCTTCAGTGAACTCGTTAAACGCGACGAAGATCTACTGGCGCTGGACGGAGATCTTTTCGAGAAGCTCATTTCATCAAGAGAAGTCGACTTTTCGGAAGATCTTCGTATGAAAGCCATACTTCGCTGGGTGAATCACGATGCTGATGGACGGCAGAGCGTAGCTTCCAAGTTGTGCGGCTATATTGACATTTCTCGTCTATCCAAGGAGTACTTTGTTCATCTGTGTCGGTCCGAAGCACAATGGGGAAGCACCCCATGGCTGGGAAAATTTCTCATGAACGCACTCATGCGTCAGCTCAACTTGGTAGAACCCGAAACAACAGCCGTGGAGAAATCAAAGATCCCGGAATACAACGATGTAAGTCCCGAAGATGAATTGAAAAATGTCAGTCAAATGACACTTTGGCAACCATTCTTCACTTGACAGTTTTCAAGTCATTCAGAAGATCAAAGAGAAACATTTTCACTCTTCCAGACACTTTATCCAGTCTATTAGTTCAAAAAGCCCTCCTTATGTCTTCGCAGTTTGACTGTATTCAGTCAGTGAGATTACAATGGAAGTCGAATGCCACTCATATTATATGTTCTTCTTGGAGCACATGGTGGATGTTTTCTGTACGCTTCAACATTTATATTTCAACTGAGATTTCGTGCTATCAATGAGGCCGATTTGCGTAGAAAAGCCGAGGAGCACTGTACAGCTGTTTCACCCTTGTTTAGAAGCATCCGGCCAATCGTTAAACACAGTCATTTGGCCACGATGATTGATCAGCAGTGTGGTGAGCTCTCACTTAGACAGGACCTAGCGGAAATCAAATCACGTGACCGCGTACTGATTGGCTTATCGAGTGACGATGTGTCAGATGGATGTTTCACTCATCGGGTGAATTTTACTCTTCCTCTGAGTCGTTTATAGACTAGTCGTAATGTGAGGTTTCGGAACAAGGGAGAGAGCTAATCACACTGATGTTTAGCCGCTCAAGTCGAACGGTGTTCAACAACTGGTCGGAAGTTCGCAGTCAAAAAAACTCCCTGAGATTTGTGATGATGAGTTCTAACAAGGATGAAACAGTTGTACACTGCTTCCCGGCTTTGCAGTCTTAGCGACTTGACGCAATCTTACTTAGAAATGACAAAATCCCCTCACCACTAGGATCATCAACTTTTATTGCCGGTTGCTTTGATAGGCTGAATGTTCATTCTACGCAACGTGTCCTCCCTTAAGTCGCACTAGAACTTTCGAGTCTGTAACCTGGGAGTACGCCTCCTCGAAACATTTGAGCCGAACGGTGTGTATTCTCCTCTGCAAGCATGAAATGCATACATTTATTCAAGAATCTGCTTCTAATGATGTTGACTACACTATTTTTGTTGCTTCCAAAACACGAATTGTGAAAGCATGGAACATAATGATTTTGACATTGTGGTACGGTGCTGTGTTGTATTAGGGGAACCAACTCCGAACGTGACTGGACTACACAACTGCCAGTGGAACAACCGTTTCCGCTGGGACAGATTTAATTGGTTGTTCTTCACTTGCCCTTGACAGATGAGTTATAATTTTAGTATCACTTTTTGGCCCGCCTAGAACTTTCCACGTTAGCTTTATAAGCGGCCCGTTTTCAGCTGCACGTGACGCCAATGCTCGTCAGTGATCAATAGATCAGCTGATTCGCACGTTCATTGGCTTTCTGGTTTGGCTAAGCGCATCAGGCTATCAAGCGGCTGTCTAGACTCGGGTTCACAGTGTTAAAAAGACATTAGGAAAACTGTGGTTCATGCATTGGTTTTCCAGAATGGTATGCCAGTGGAACACTATGGGCCGCAGCAACCAGCTTGTAGTTAGTTGGCCATCAGGAAGCACAATGATACGTCTTTGACGCTCGACTGTTTCTGTGTCTGGTGCGTGATAAATCCATTCGTGTGACGTCTCCCTTTGAATGACACAAAACTTGCTCCACCTGGATCAAGACTTGAGCTGTGTAGCCTGGATTGATGGATGGAGCCGTAGGAGACAGATTTCCATTCGACAATATCCACAATCAGTGTGAAGTGCGAGTTACCATGTACGTTTGAGAGTGCACTGAGTTTACTTAAACAAAACAATATCAAGATAATGGTGGGCAGGTGAGGTCCATTAGTTCACAGTCGGCATTAATTGGAAGAGGTTAAACAGTGATTTATGGTGGAATTGGATGAGTCTTGAGAAGAAAAGATGGGATGAGTGAGCTTTCAATCTGAGAAGTCCCCTGTTGGGCAGGTAGTCATCACGTAATAACGCGATGTGAGTCCTTATGATCTGGGAGTGTGTAGTGAATAGCTGCTATAGCTCAGGTATTTTACGCACTGTCAGGTTATCTGAGAGTGAACACGGTTTGTAGTATTTTCTGCCAAATCGACCATTTGGCTTTGTTATGCTTTGTTATCAAACAAACTCCGGACATGGGTGTCCACCCCTGCATAAGTCTTGAAGAGTTTCGGTCATTGTGAAGATCCTGTAATTACTTGCGCGATTCGACCTCCAAGTACCATAAGAAAACGCTTGATGGTCCTCGAATATATTTATGAGTAGGATAGTGCACTACGCTCATTGCACGGTTTAGATCCATTTCTCTCGGGAATGTTGAATACCTTGGCATTACTGGAGCCAAGAATGTGTTCGTGTAATTCCGGTGTACTATTCCACCAGCACAGGATGGGCACGTCTGAGGTTTCACTTGTGAACAGGCGAACATGTTGACAATGTTGTGGAATGTAGGTAGCTCGGGTGCGCTGCTTGGTTGTTGGTCTGTTCGCCGAACTTGGCAGTTGGATTGCAAACGTTTCATCACCAGTCGAGGTGACATGATCGGTGCGGGGTTGAGTCACTGATTGATTGATTAATTAATTAATTAATAATTAGTTTCATTTTTGTTTACAGTTCATTGTAATTGCTGGCGGTGGACTTGCAAAAGATGTGGTGGAGTTTTTTGACCTAAAGACACAAACCTGGACATCCACTTCTTCCAGCGATGAATCGTCTAAACTCTCTGGAACAATGGCTTTCCCGGAGTCACTGATGATTAATTAATTAATTAATAATTAGTTTCATTTTTGTTTACAGTTCATTGTAATTGCTGGCGGTGGACTTGCAAAAGATGTGGTGGAGTTTTTTGACCTAAAGACACAAACCTGGACATCCACTTCTTCCAGCGATGAATCGTCTAAACTCTCTGGAACAATGGCTTTCCCGAAATTGCCTTCTGCTCGGCACGGCTGCACTGCGGTTGTCGTGGACGACGTCCTGTACGTGATAGGTGGCATAACAGACGTGGTTACCTCGTCTGTAGTTGTGTACAAACCGGCCAGTGGCTCCTGGGCATCCGGACCTACAATGCAGCACCCGCGTCGATGGCTAGGTGCGACAGTGCTCAATCAGAAAATTTATGCGATAGGAGGATTTGATGGTAGTAAGTGCGTCTTTGAAAAATCAATTTCAAAAGCGTACAATTCGGATGTTTTATTTAGCATTGCGCTTGTCCATCCCAGAAGGTATCAGGGGAATCTTGCCATACAGTTGTTCTCCTGTGAGCAGATCACATTTAGCAAGTTGTCATCTTTGATCGACCCCTCGAGGCAAGCATCTATATGATGAGTCAAAAGTGAAGAAATTTTAGCTTCCAATTGGAAGAAAACTCTTCTTATCTTACCACGTGTCCAGAATGAACTTCTCATGTCCCGTTTACCGTCTCGCAGTGCACTTTTTCAATGTACGTTGTGGACAACTGACAGAATGAATTGATATTCTGTCATTTGCCTTTTTTAACTTAGAAACTCGGTTGAACTCAGCTGAGATGCTCGAACACTCCTCAGACAAATGGCGTTCAATTGCACCGATGCTAAGCCGACGATCGTCGCTCGGTGTTGCTGCACTACGCGGTAACATTTACGCTGCCGGAGGGTTCACAAGCAATGACGTCCGGTTGTCCACTGTAGAATGTTACAATCCGGACTCGAACACTTGGACCTCAGTTGCCGGAATGGCTTCACCGTGAGTGCACAGATAAAAATAGCATTTTTTTGGAGTTTGATTCGCACAATGACGATTTTGTCGTCATAAACCTACTTGTGTTCTATTCCTCAGACGCTGCGGGCTGGGTTTGTGTGCGATAGACAACAATCTGTATGCTGTTGGCGGTTGGTGCGCAAACGTTGGTGTCTCGGGTGCAACGGAGGTCTATTCACGAGATACAAAGTCGTGGCAAACCGTCTCATCGATGACTACAAAACGTGGAGGACTAGGTGAGCGATCATGATGTTGTTTTAGTTGAGGATGATGATGATGATGATGATGAGGATGATGATGATGATGATGATGAGGATGATGATGATGATGATGATGAGGATGATGATGATGATGATGATGAGGATGATGATGATGATGATGATGAGGATGATGATGATGATGATGATGAGGATGATGATGATGATGATGATGAGGATGATGATGATGATGATGATGAGGATGATGATGATGATGATGATGAGGATGATGATGATGATGATGATGAGGATGATGATGATGATGATGATGAGGATGATGATGATGATGATGATGAGGATGATGATGATGATGATGATGAGGATGATGATGATGATGATGATGAGGATGATGATGATGATGATGATGAGGATGATGATGATGATGATGATGAGGATGATGATGATGATGATGATGAGGATGATGATGATGATGATGATGAGGATGATGATGATGATGATGATGAGGATGATGATGATGATGATGATGAGGATGATGATGATGATGATGATGAGGATGATGATGATGATGATGATGAGGATGATGATGATGATGATGATGAGGATGATGATGATGATGATGATGAGTTGTGTGGCCCATCATCAGACAATTTTCTGGCATATACTGCTTGGTTGGAAGCGTCAATCGTGGACCACCAGTTTGGAAAAACTGATGGTCTTACGACTGACCCTCTCCAATCACCGCTTACGACCACTCACCTTCAGCCCGGTGCAAATTTCAAACACTATGGAGGTTGCATCAGTGTAACACGTAGGTATTCGGGAACTTGTCTTCCCTTCGTATCTTCGTACAAGCTGTCAGAGTTACTTTTTTCATAAAACCACTATGCCTTTAATTTTATACTCACCACAGGTCTTGTTGCTCACAACGGTATTCTCTACGCTATTGGTGGATGGGATGGAGGGAACCGACTAACCTCCATAGAACGCTATGACCCGTCCAGTGACAAGTGGACATTGTTGCCAGGACAAATGAAGATTGGTCGGTATAATTCGGGTGTCGCCGTGCTCCGAATGAAATCTTGTGACTGACATTTTGCAATAAAAGTACATTTTTCATGTATAGTTTCTGGATGCTGTAGTTCCGATAATAAAGGCCTCCTTTGACCAGTAGCTCACCGACAAAGTGAACTACCCACATGATGGAAACGTAAGTCCTCAACTACTGTTAACTATTCAGTAGCTACAAAATTCAATTGAACTTCTGTTGCCTCAATTCGGTATTTTGGTCGTGGACTGAGATTAGATATTCTTGATTCGGTTGTCTATCGGAGTAGACAATAGAGTCTGGCAAATAGAGATGCTTTTTTCACTCTCCTCACTGGTGTATTCAGGGCCAGGTTTGAGGTAGAATTAGTGGGTTATACATTACTCCTTATGAATAACAAACCTCCTGGTCACAATGAACTGAATAACACGGCCGATCGCATCGAAGAAAGAAGAGATTATCCGTTTCTTAAAAATGGACCAACTAGCCAACACGCACATCATACCAGTGTAACGTTGATTCGAAAGTCTCATTCCTAGTGGTTCATGCAACCTGAGCGGTGTTCAACTCATCACTCATCCCATGTCTGACAGGAAACCTCCAAAATCAATGCCAAACTCTTTATTATTATCATTCCAGATCATAAAAAATTAAAATGGTATATCTGCTACACGAAGTCGCAAGCCACTCCAAAATTTATTTAGTAACAAGTGTTGTTTGATCAGATATTAGTTGATCTCTCCGCCCAGCTTGACAATTGGCTAGCGAACGTTTCGTCCCCAGTCGAGGAGACATCGTCAATGCGTAGTTGAGGGGGTGCATCCTCCGTGCCCAGCTGCTTTTATATAGTTTTCGGAGAGTATTGAATATCCCGTAACGTGATTGGCTAACTGGTAAATACCCTTTATATAGTACTTTTTGCCCGGCTGTGACTTACGCTGCGTTATGGTCTTTATACTTGTTATTCCACGAGTCGGTTGGATGGCTGTTTCGGGGGTGTTTCAAGTCCGTTTTCGATTGGTTCGTTCCCGGTTTGTGTTGCGTTGTGGTCTCTCCTCCTTGAATTTGGTTGGTTGTGATGCTGGTTTCTATTTTTGGTAGTTTTCTTACTTCAATCCTATCCAGCCTGATTGTTTGTCTGCTTGTCCGTCTCTCTGTCCTATAGCTCTCAGCTCTCTTACTTTCAGAGGTCGATAGACTGGGTCGATTTCGATGGGTTTGTTGGCGGCTTTTTCAGTGGAATGCCATGCTTCCATGAATTCACGTTCTTTCTTCGTTCCCGCTTGAACCAATATGTGAACCGTGTTCCGGTTGAATTTATGTCCATCTTGATCTTCGTGCACGGAGAGGAGGGAAAATTGTTTGTGCCTTTCGGTTGCAAGATTGTGTTTGTGGATTCGGGTAGAGAACTTCCTTCTTGCTTGTCGCACTTAGTGTTTGTCACAATCTCCGAACTAAATCTTGTACATGGTATTGGTCCTCAACATTGTGTCTAATCGTCCCCTTGGGTTTGATAGTGTTCTTCGTAGGGTGTTTGTAGGTTTGTGGGACACTGTTGTGTTATACTGTCATAGCAAGCGTGAGGGCATTTCCGAAATATTCCTGAGGTATGGAAGTGTGGTCCGTTTTTGTTCTCCTGTTGGGTTGGTCGAATTGAGTATTTTGAGAGTGCGCCACATGAAATTTCTGGGGTATCCATTTCTCTGAAAAGCTCTTTACAAGCGTTTCTCTTCTCTGACTTTTGACTCCGTAGTGGTGAAGTGCGCCGCAATAGGCTTGGTATAACTTTGCCTGTGACAGTTTGGACAACTGCTGTGGTAGCTGAGAATTTGGTCTGTATGCGTTGCCTTCCTGTAGACTTCCGTTTGCAGTTGTCCGTTTGGTAATCTCTCGGCTGGAGACGAAACGTTTGCAAGCCAGTTGCCAAACTCGGCGAACAGATCAACCACCATCTGATCGACCAAGAGTAAACCCACCCGAGCTAACCATATTTCGACTGTTTTTTTTTAACAAGAATGGCAGCAAGGCTAGATATGTTCAGGAGATGATGCTTTGCGCCTTTGTTTTGCGCTTTTGTGACATCTCCCGACGCATTGATTAAAAACCATCACTCAAAATGCAATTCCTAGTTTTCTGTGCTTCCGCTACACAAGATTCTGTGGGATACATTTTTCAGAGGTGTCCCATGGTTTGGTGTGGTCACGACCAGAATTAAATAGATTTGGGAAACTTCCTGTTGTATTCATTCAGATTTTCTCGGAGACTGGTAATATGATCACCCCTAGTGTTTATATTTGTCCAGAAAATATACAGATGCCATTGATTCGGCCACATAAGTGAGAGACGCAACAGTACGTCGGCTTGTCGGAGGCTGGTGATAGACTGGTACTTGATCTTGAAGTCGAATCCCAGAAGCAGAGTGCTCATCGCTGGGGACGTTTACCGGTATACACCGGAATCTCCTTCTTCAAGTCAAAGGCAGTTAGGAGCGGTTGGTGTTCGCTCAGTAAGGTGAACTGACATCCGTAGAGCATTTTATGAAACTTTTGGACGCAAACATGATCACTGAAGCTTCCTGTTCTGTCCGAATTTAGTTGCGCTCGGCAGGTGTCAGGGATCTGACCGCATGCGCAGTGGCTTTCCGGCTGCTGTCGGGAAACACCAGTTTCATAGCTCGAGGCAGCCGACGCCACAGTGAATTCCAGCGATGGATCGCAGTGGGTAGGTAGCCAATCGGAACTCAGCATGAAGTTAACAAAGTCAAAGGCGCGTTGGCATTCTTCTGACCATGTCGAATTGTGGGCTTTGGTAAGTAGCTGGTTTTGTGGGCCTCGGGGTCGATGCACGGCGGGCAAAAACGAACTGCAGTGACTGATGAGACTGAGGAAAGACCTGAGGGACGTCACGTCTGTGCGTGTTGGCGTACGTTGAATAGTGTCGATGTTTTCCAGGTCGGTTCGGCGGCCATGTTCGTCCATGATGAACCCAAGGTACATTATCGACCGCATGAAATAGGTGCATTTCTCCTGGCGCACTCTGAAGCCATATTCCTGAATACGACTAAGCACCTAATCAAGGCGCTGCCACAATTCGTGTGGGTTGGAACCTATGACAGTGAGATCATCCAAATGAGCGGCAACGCCGATGACATCTTTCAGCATCATGTATCCATGATCTGTTGAAAGATGGCTGGCGCTGTTTTGATACCGAATGACAGTCGAGTACACTGGAACAGCCCGCGGTGTGAATTGATCGTCAGAGGTTCTCGGGATTCTTCCTCAACTTCAACCTGGAGGTAAGCTTCGGCTAATTCAATCTTTGCGAAGCATTTACCCCCATTCAGTTCCGCGAACAAATTGTCGTCTGGAAGAGGCAGAGGGTACTGATGGGTATCCAACGTAGCGTTGAGACCGGTGGAGAAATCTGCACACAACCGGATGGTCCCATTAGCCTTCTTCACCAGCACGATAGGTGGGGCCCAAGCGGCAGTTGATCGGTTGGAGAACATCAGCCTTCTGTAGTCAGTCCAGTTCCTGGTCAACGATGGGTAAGGCTGCATATGGCCTGGAAACTGGTTTGGCACCGGGGAGGAGGCACAGTCTGGCTCTCGATTTTGTATACCGTCCAACCTCGTCGGTGATTATGGATGCATGGCGTTGTAGGAGGTCCTCAGGTGAATGCTTTGGCAACTGAGTTTTCTCGAGGACACCTCCGGGTGCTGCGTGCATGCGGTTGCAACTGCGTGCATCGGTTGCAAATGGAATCGATTTCCCCCCCCCAGCAGATTCAGCTTTTTGATATAGTTCAAACCCATGATATCAAGTTTGGGGCTATGATATTAGGTATCCGTCAAGCCATGGAACATTCAACCCAGCCAATCACACTCAACTTACTGCCGGAAGCGTCACCGGTCCAATGTTCAGTGTGACTTTCCTATTCGTTTTCACATTCGCTCAACGAGCAGCGTGATGTCGAGCCCGTATGAAGCTTCAAACGAAATGGGATGTTGTTTACACGAACCGTCACAAAATTCCCTCGGTAGGCAAAATGAAATCTGAACGTCACTGTTTCTGACTTGGACTGCGATTTGTGAGCTGCACGGTGGCTGCGGTCTCCAAGATTGACAAAAATCTTCTTTGTAGCCATGACCATTGCACCTGGCACCGACAATAAGAAACAAAATGCTACTCACTGTATTGCCAGCAACTTGTTGAAGGCTTGCTCTGTTTTCGGTCTGGCTTGTTGTCAGATTTCTTTGGGGCGCTGAAGTTGATTGTCTGTACACAGCTGCTTGATCGATCATAGCCCTATCGTGCTTCAGGTTGATGAGGCATTGACATTCGCTGGTAAGGTTCTGTGATATCATTTCAGCATCCTGTTCATTTCTGTGAAGCAGTCTACCTCAGATTTTCGCATCTTGGGATGACTAGAGACCGGATAGAAAACTGAGACGCCAGGGCTGGTTCTCCGTCATTGAGCTGAGCATGAGACGCTCGCATTCCGGGTTGACAACCCGGCAAAGGTGATCAAATCGTCATCATCTTTCTAAACGGCCTGAGGCACTGGTAACGGATACTGAACAATGATGTTTGGTCGCCGAATACAGTGCTTTGGTCAATTTCATCAAAGTGTAAGTCGCGAGGCATTATGGGGAGGATGACGTTTGTGTGCCGTTCATGCTCCAGTGTGCCGAGCTTCTGAACGAGTACTCCAACTTTCCGTCCGTCATCAAACTTTGAAAAATCGGTTTTGAACAAGTCTTCGTACCGTTTGAACCCGGTGTCAAAAACGTGATCAGAAATAGGGTCGAGGGTGAATTCTGTGTTTGAGGCCGCGGCTGCGTCAGCTGAGGTAACGGAATATTCATTAGTATCGGCTGCCAGTGGCTGAACATCTACCCTCCGAGTCAGTAATTCAATGAGATTCAATTGTACTTTTTCAAACTTCTTTTGTCTGAACTTGTCTGAACCTTCCAAACTGACATTCTCGTCAAAAGGACCACCAGATGTGTGTATTGTACGTCCAAAACCATCCCAAAAATACATGCACAGCTTGTCGTATACAGCATTCGGCGGATACTGGATCATGATTGGTTGTTGAGTTCACACTTTAGGCCAATCAGAGGTCGCCTTGATGCTGGACCGGCAAGCAGCCCGATCTTTTGGCCAATCGCATGTGGGGTTATCTTCTTGGCCGTAGCAACACCTAACTGCTCGCGGTAGAGCGACATCATTGCGGAATTCCACGCAACATTCAGCCATATAAGTTCTGATATGATTTCATTTGGAAAAACAGTCCAATTTCCATGAATTCGTTCCTACAACTCCCATTTTAAGCTAACCTGAAAACGTCTAAAAAATCTCACTAAACTTCAGTGTTATAGCCATTTTATTTCGAGGAAAATGTCGATTGTTACGTGAGAGTTTTTCACTCTTCTCGATTCCAGATTGAGGCCAATTTTCCACGGTATTCGTCCAAAGTTATTTGCGTACGCGTACAAGCTTTGAAGCTCGTTGCCTGTAACAAAAGCGATGTCAGATCGATACCGGTTTCACGCTTGGATATAAATCAAACTCAAACCATTCAGTATTCGTCGACCCAAAAGCATGTAAATCCAAGTTTTCAGGTGAAACTAACACGTGATGGTTAACACCTAGATGTATTACCCACCGAAGATTCGTATGTAGAAGTATGCTGTCACAGACACCATACTTAACTGGTCACACGTCATTTAGATTGGAAGATCGGTCGTTATTCAAAAAAATAAAGCTTTTGTTTACAAGTGGGCATTATTACTTGGGCATCCACACTGAGTTACACACAGGATTTTGCGCCATAATTAACCTTAGTGTCCCTCTGTGGAGCCAGCATCGAAGACCTTGTCATTTGGGTTATCGACCTCATCTCTGGAATGTTCGAAATTAATTCGCAAGAGTCGGATCAAATAACAGAACACATCTAATCAGTAGTATCAACATTCAATACGAAATACATCCAAGTGTCCAAAGGGTAACCCATATTTAGTCAGGTGTATCTAGGACCGCCATGTAAACTTCGTTGGTCATCCTAGACCGAAAAGATATTTGTCTCAAAATCATGAGTTTTGTGTATTGATTGTGGGACGATCAAGAAAAATGAATTAAAGTTAAGTCAAAATGACCTTTGCCAGACTTCCATATCGTCGGTGTAGAGATTCCCGCTAGGGGGAAATTTCAGTCGCGTGTGGGTTTGACCAAGAGGAAGTATTGGTTTCGAAAGCACAAAAGCAATAAAAACTGGACAGAAATGCTCAATCGTCCACGTTTTTTGGATTCAACGCGTGCACAACTCAGTCACTGACCGGCCCAGTGCAGGATCGAAGTCCGCACACTAGATAAGAGGGGGTGGAATGTTGGTTCGGGCTGCTGTCTACCCTTCCAAGGCCAGTCTTGTCGCTAGGTTGCGACGACAGAACAAGTCGGATGGAGCACGAACGCAGATAGGTCGATCTAATTACACAGGCGCGCACATATACACACACGTGTTGGCACACCAGTGTCGGACGAGGTGGCCTTGGTGAATGAGCGCCACGGAGGGTCGTGACGGAGCAAACCAGGTGGAGATCGATCAGCACAATGGCGGAGTAACTATATGTATGAATGGGGAAGTTTGTATCAATGGTCACAGTTATCCAGATGATCACAAGAGAGAGAAGTTGGGGGCGGTTAGCGTATGCATATCAACTGACCTAGCTGGTAAATTACGCCATGTTTTCAAATCAAATATGTATACTTTTTTCACATTGAAAAATGAACTACGAAGCTACAATACACGCGTGTGTGCAGCCAATTGGTAAATTTTGGACGCATGGGGGGTGGGGGCTGAGCACAACCGACAAGCTTTTTGCATGTAGCTGAATATGTAGCTACTCACAAGCCTCACGACGCACCCGAGAGAAGACGGGTGCTGTTGACTGGAAGAACTTTCATCGCGAAGTTTGCGCCTGACGGCTTTTGCAGACTCCAACAGTTATCGGCGGCCCAGGTTTACACGTCGAGACCGATGAAACGCTAATATCTCGCCGTAAAAACCACACAGGGTGAGTCCTTCCCCGGCAGTGGATTTTCGGAGGGAAACTAAACAGTGTTTAGGTATGCAGTGCCAGATCGAACTGCGACCACTTTGATGGACACAATCCAGGCCTGTATCGCTCCCGGCTCAATCATCGACCCCGATAGGTGGGCATCATACTAAGGAATTGAAACGATGATTGACATGAGTTATATTCATGAAACGGTTAATCATACCGAAAAATTTGTGGGTCCAACGACTGGAGCTCACACACAAACTATCGAGTCCCTTTGGTACGTCTACAAGGTGCAGAATAAACGCGAATGCGGCACACATCGATCTTTGGTGGACAGCTACTTGTACGAGTTCGTTTGGAGGCAAAGGTACCGAAAAACGGACCTTTTCATGCCAATTATCAATGACATGTCCTATTTTCACCCTCTTCAATAAAAACCAAAAGTACTAATTTCATAACCTTTTATTTCTAATCTTTTTTGAGTAGTGGGGGCTAATTTTTTGGTGGGGCTTATCTGGAAAAGATCCAATATGGATCCATTCACCAACATCTTTCTTGCCTATGATTGGCGACCGAGTGGTAACGGGAAAGTTTACCATACACGTATAACTATTCTAACCTAACGGGAATTTTCGAAAACATTTTGTGGCTATCCGGACGTTCTAACCATTGGTAAAAGCAGTCCGCTGTATTATCCGCTGAAAACGAAACAAACAAAAGAAAACTGCGAGTAGTATGTTACCTCTGTATAAGGACTCGATCACATTCGGAGTTCATGCGTCATCAAACATTCATAGACCTCATCTGTGTGCGCAACCTTAATGAGATCAACTAGTTCTTGACTGCTTCTTGACTGCTCCCAGTTAAATAACTATCAAGTCCCCATATGGATCTTGAAGTAACCGTGTGGTACCATTCATCAGTAGTCAGCTTGCCAAAGATGCGTGTAGAACTCCTGCAAACAAATTGATTTGTCAAACCACGTTGTCAACCGATGACAGACTTTCGCTGCCCCCCTCTATCCACCCGTTCGACCCTTGGTTTAAGAAGCGTTTCCAAAAACTCGTTGTTACAACTCTGTGTGTGAGTGAGTGTGTGTGTGGATACTAGCCATCGGGTCCGAGTGAAACAGCAACAACAAATTATTGCTTTAAAGGTTCCTTTTATTTCAAATTTACTATTAACTTTATCTAATTTCATCTTTGTATATTCCCATCGTTCTGTATATCTCCGGAATAGTATGATGTCTGCAATGTTGTACAGAATGAGGAGAGCTCCCCCGTCCTCTTCTCCCTGACCACCACATCGATCAACAGGAAGCATGTATAAATGCGGATAAATAAAACCATTTCTTGTCGGGCTGTTTTCGGAGAACAGACGGAGTGCAACTACAAACGCATATCAATCCTATCTGATGTTCAGCCAGATGGCGCAGTGGGGAACATATGCAATAGAAACGGGAAAATACTACTCAGTGACGCCATTGTTCTCGTCGCAATCAGACAATGAAATCAGGCATCAGGTTTTTGAGTGCATCATCTCCGTGATCCTCCGAATACGGACGTTTGTTCCTCAGTCTGAAGCGCCCCAAATTCTTTGGAAGATGGTCGGTTGCTCCGTTACACGACCGACCCATCGCGGGCACTTTGTTGGAGCTACAATTTCGAGTTTCGCCTTCCGTCAAACTTCCGTCTGATTGACTGGAGTAATGCGACTTATACCTGTTATTGTCATGCGTGCGAATTGGTCGTCTTATGTGGATTTCATCTTCCAGAACGCTGTCCACTGTCTTTGGGCTTGTGTAATCCGGAGATGAAGGGTTTTGTGTTTCCAACTTGGACTGCACATCTCCACGTCCATTTGAATCAATATTTCCGGAAGCCTGTAGATCAACGCCGCTGTCAGTGTAGGTTGATCCCAACTGAAAGTAGTGGGACAGGAGTAAACAGGTGAGATATAGTTGCAAAAATAAGGGTTTGAACGTCAGTAGGACTGACGGAAAACATGTTTCAATATGTTACCATTCTTATATTCTTCCCAGTCGCTGGCATAAACTGATTGGTCGATTTTCGTAAGTCACCTGATCAGTACCAAAATGAGGAAATCATTCGTCCAAACATCTTCGTGCCGGAACTGGTCTGATTTGCTCAGATTCGGTCATCTTTGGGGCCTTGTGTGAATAAGTCCGAGGTTCATTATCTGACGCGTGTCTGGCTACCGACGATGTAGGACTGTGCTTTGTTCTCTGGTCGAAAGCTTCCCTGATGACATGGGTTGCATACTGCTGTGGCACACTTTCAGTGCTTTACTGCCATGCCACCAGAAGGAAGCACGAGGGCTAGGATACTGTCAGATTGCCCAAGCTTAGACAGGGAAAGGGCAGAGGTCGGGTTCGAACCACGGACCTTCCGGTCTGTAAATTCGTGCTCTAACTACTGAGCCATCTTGCCCTACTCATCAGCTGTCACTTAGACAGGATTTAGCGCCACTCACCCCTCCATTCTGGGATCTAAAGCACGTAGTCACAAGTGTTGGCTGGCTCCTCGGGAAGTGCTTTGGCACAGATCGATTTCAGTTACATAACGAAATCACAGCTGAAAATTACTAGCAACAGTAAACATGAAGTTAATGATAACTCCTCGACAGCCCGCGAGCGCTTTCGCTCTTATTGATGTTCATTAAGCAGCCACAGTCCCTTCTTTGAACTTTGAACTCAAGTCCGATGGAATTTGCCAGTAATCTTCGCACATAAATTCAACAGTATGTACTGTTCAGTTCACGTGGGATGCGGCCTCCATTAGCGTTGAGAATAGACATGGAAGCTAGCGTTCATCAGCTGGTAACAAGTGTGAGGACGTCACCTCCAGGTTACACATCGTTATGTGCTACCCGTCAAAGGGAGAAGGCCTTCGCTGAGGAGTTATTTATTAGAAAATGTCAACTGAACAGTTACAGACTATTGGACAGGGAAGCAAAACTCTCATATGCATCTTGTTCACAAAAACTGAATATCCATCTTCTCTTTGAACGCGTCTTCCTGAATTTTTCCGGATATTCATTGACTGTTGCTCAATCGCAAGCAAATGCTACAAAGCGACTCCACAAATTCCGTAACAGATTTCGCTTTTCAAGAGACGCGAAGCGGATTTACGAGAAGACATACTACTCGCATAGCTCCCCTATCAGTAGTATCATCATTACACCCGAATCACATTAGGCATATATCACGTGCGCTAACTTGGCAACTGTTACCATCAAGTCACCTGTTGAGAATTCGAGCTGTCCTACCTATGACATTGAAGCAGTGTTGTTCAGCCACACTGCTGACCGTTCATCCTGGGCGTAATGGAGACTCCACGACATGATTTAAACATCGATTGCAATATGGACTGGCTAATAAATAAGCTAAGAGTAGAAGGTGCAATTGATTTACTAACCTTCTTGTTGGTAGAATGGCTTTCGGTCCGTTCTTGAACCGCTCCGTCCACATCAGCCGGATACTCTTGTTCGCATCGCGCAGGCAGACCGAAGTTCCTTGCAGAATCGGAGACAAGTTTCTCTAGAAATTGCTGGGTACCAAGGTGAGACATATTAGCAGTATCAGGTTCGTTTAGAATAGTCTTTGGTTCAGACGGATTGCTTGCCGGAGCAGGTCTATACGGATAACTAGTAAGGACATTATTGAACGCAACAGCCGGGAAACTCGGTCTGATGCCACATGTTTGGCGGTCCGGTTGGATAAGTGAAAGTGGATTGTTCTCCGGACTTCGGAGTCGCTGAACCATTTCCAACTGTTTTGTGGGATCCAAGAGGTTTCTTGGTGGGAGCGTACGGTAGAACAGGTTAGGCTGTAGAGGGATAGTTGCTAAAAATAAACAAGAAAAACCCCGATATGTTGCGGGTGAGTTGGAATTCAATGGTAAAAATTGAAGCGTTTCTGAGGTAGATCCGGCCGAACAAGCATGAACAAGCATATGATTCCACTAACAGAGCTTAAAATGGTGTTGACCTCCCTGTAAGGTCAGTAATGTACTGTGTGCTTATTCTCCCCGATAGGGATTGTAACTTCTTTGCCGCAGAAGAGGATCGCTCTCTCTCTCATTTGAACGGTCGTTATACTGTCTAAGCAACCGGTCAAAGCTTCACTTGACCTGTCCTCAGTAGTGTCCATAATTAGGTAGGACTTGTGGGAAAACGTACAAAGAACGAATAATTCGATGTGTCCGGTGATCGTCATTGTATGCAGAAAAAGCCATGTTGTAAGATTGTGATCAGCCCAACAGTTAGTGGTGAATAAACTGGTTAAAGGAGACTACTCACAAGGTTACTGGAAACGTATGGACAGCCTATGACCGGTTTCGCCCTTTTTAGAGCTGGCTGATCAGTTAGGTACAGTCCCCGAGTTTCCGCTAACCTTATGTTCTACTTGACAAGTACACTCATTTGCATCAGAATTAGTTGCGCGACAATAAGTAAGAAATTTAAGAAAATGGGTTGGCAACCGTGATTTCATCCGGTAAATGATTCCGTTATGTGTACAACCACTTTCTCCTCATTGGGAATCGTGCACACCTCATGAATTCTCAGTTTGATTCGAACTGTCAACCTCCCGAATTGTGGTTGATCATTTATCCGTTTGGCGATGAACGGTTGATCAGCTGTGTGATAAGATCTCACTCGGACAGGATATGGTGCCTTGGGCCAGTGGATTCTCATCACGTGATCACGTGTTGACTCCGTTCGGCGATGAACGGTTGATTAGCTGTGTGATCAGATCTCACGCGAATAGGATATGGTGCCTTCGGTCACTGGATTCTCATCACGTGATCACGTGTTGACGAAAGGCAACTTTTCGAAAGGAAGAATAATTCCTACGGCGAGTGAATTTGAAAAGTTATCACTAGAAGACCAAGTCAAGCATGATCATATGGAATTTGCCACATTCTTTGAATATTGCTGATTTGCTGTCAATCGATCAAGTTGAAGAATTAAGAAAAAACGACTCTGAGAGCTGTGTTTATGGTGCCTGAGACCTGCGATCTGAGGACGCAAAATATCCTTAAATATTCGGTTTCCATCTTCACAGTCTATTTCATAGACAACGAATTTATAACTCTTCACAACAATTTGGCTATGCTTATCAATACGTTAATCCAAAATGAACGATACTCACGATACGTACATTCAGTTGCCTGAGAATATCACAACCGAGGAATTCAGCTGGGTTCCAGGTGAGTCTCTCGAAAAAACCAAATTAGTTTGCAAATGAGTCTATATTCACTAATTTCGTGCGATTTGGTTTCAAGTAGAACATAAGGTTGACGGAAACCCGGGGACTGCGCCTACCTGATGAGCCCCCAAAAGGGCGAAGCTGGTCGTGGGCTGTCGACGGATTTTCAGCAACTTTATGAGTAGTACATTACAAAGAACGATACTCTTCTTCAGGGCTTGGTCAGCTCATGCTACAGGCCATCTACTTTCACCTTCTATCATCATTTCATTGTGAAGGAAGAAACAACTGTCGCTTTATAAAGAACCTCACACACTGGCTGTTCTGCACCCGTCAAAAAGAAACTTGTCTGGCGAAGCAAAACCTCCTACCAATATAGACCGCATAAAACTTGGTTTCCGGGTAACCCAATCATTATGACAATTTCAAGCTTTTGCTTCTGTGAATCGGTGAGAGACCAAATATAACCGGTTGCTAAACCCTCGCCCCAGAAACCACTTAGTTGCGGCCGTTCCGAGACTCACACACACATGGATTCGATTTCTCAACAATCGTGCATTTTAGCAAGTGTGTTTGGGTTACTTTGGACAGTTGTACTTCCTGTTCCTTTTTTGTGTGAAAACCCCACAGTGCGGTAAACAATTTTGACGACGTGCTTCACACGTTTGAAGTTGTTGGCTAGCTATTTTCCCGTCCTGACTGCGCATCAAGTTTTTTGTCACAAACTGTCTTATGGTCACGTGCTTCGGACGAAGCCGGTTGTTTTGTGGTAGTCAATCGGGCCTTAAAGTGGGAATCATTTAACGCGCCTTGGAACCAAGAGCACATATCAGTGTGTTCGCACGGAAGACTATATCATAACGATCCGATTTGGCATTCCAGGGAAAGAAACGATGACATTTTTTCCCGTCAACTTACGCTTCAAGTCAGGTTGAATGAAGCCCGATCCGAATGCTGAATAGAAACCCGATCGATCCGTTGTGGGACCGGGCAGGGATGTCTGTGGTCTGAGATACATGGGAATCGGTCGCATCAGTTGAGACTCGTGTCCGGGAATGTAAACGGGGCTGGATATTGGATTCGCGCCATTGCTTCTTGGGCCGTTCTTGTCGTAAATACGGGGCGGAAGTTCGTTCAGTGTGGAAATGGATCCAATGTGTGAGTAGACGGAAGATGACTGTAAATTTGGAGAGCATTAAGGGTGTGTCAGTTGATGGATGGTATGATGGACACGGTATCACCACGGTTACTTATACAAACTAAGGGTTAACCATGCCTTGCCCAGAAAGTGTACCTCCGTTGAATCACTGTTTTCACACTGAGAATTGCACTGATTTCGGCAGTAGGAACCTAGCGTTGAAGATAAGTTTCCAGCGCTCATTACTATGGGACATCCGTGGACATGTGTACTTTAATGTCCACATGTATTGATACACAAATAGAGGAGAATTTCGGTCATCTAACTGAGACCTGGGCCTGTTGTACAACCTTCTAACAGATTACACCACACATTCTCGTTGTTCATTGTGACTATTCTGCTTGACCCTGCGTGATTTTTACCCAACTATACGTACTTGGTCATTCTGACCAGCATTGGTTTCTTCCTCTACGTTGTCAGGGAAAAAAGGAATCGATCCAAACTGATCCCCTTTGCCCGGACCGCCGCCTCGATCTCTCTCCGTTTCTTCGTTGACCGAATCCAAGGGGGCGGAATCTCCATCCTCATCTTCTGTGGTGTGCTTGTAAGATGTTTGTTCGGCGGCGAAGAATAGTCCGTTGATTGCACCATTGCTCGCCATCGAGGGCTGTGGTCCAGCTCCAGGAAAATATCCGTTCAGAACAGGATTGGCAGCGGACTGCCGTAAAGAGTTCGACCATGGTCCGACCGAGTTGTGATGTAGAACATCACCCGTGAAAGCCAGGGATGGCCAACTTAGGGTTGAATGTGGGTCTTTGAGCATTGCAGTGAAATTCCCAAGAAGCTGTACGTTTGGATCCAGTGTTGTCGGCTGAGCCAATAGGTAGTCTGTTAGATAGGCATCAGTGTACGACAATCCCGGGTGACCGTTTAAACCGCGTTCGATTGGAGTGCAAGGAACTTCGGTCGATGAGATTGTCGCGCGACCCTTGTTCGGAGATTTGAAGATATCTGTTTTAGGTGAAAACAGAACGTAAGCGACTGCAATGTCGTTCACACCGAAAAAAATAACGAAAACGCAAAAAACAGCACACTAACAGTACTGAGCGGGGACCAGCTTTCCCTCATTTGTTTGTCAGGTCAGATATTGGTCAACCGTTGGCAGACCGATTACTGGGGGAGGCGTCAGTTAGCCCAAGTGGTTAGAGCGCGGATTTACTAACCGGAAGACCCGTGTTCCGAATCCAACTTCCGCCTCTCGACTTCCTCTGTCTAGGCTTGGGCAACCTGGCAGTATCCCAGCCCTCGTGCAACCTTTGGGTGGCATGGCAGTTAGGCACCGAAAGGGTGCTACAGATGAATGATTTTTTTATCTACAGTTCGCCATTCATTAAAGACAATTACGGCGAGAAATTCAGGGGCGGTCAATGCTCATTCAGCATGATGCATTGCTAGATCAATCAAGTGAGAAGAGTTCTCAGCAGTTACTGAATTGCGTTTACCAAGCCTTAAAAACTCTGGTATCTAACTACCTTGCCTTAGTGCCGGAAAAGGACTCGCTAACAAGAAATAGAACTGCTTTATTGCAAACAAGCGAATGCAAAAGTCTCAAGGGGTATAGCGCTATTTAAAGGGCACTTTTGACATTGATCCAGACTGACTGGCGCTCGGTGAACACCAATCATCATTGACCGTGCTTCTGTTGCGTTCCTGAACACTCATCAGTCATTGCTCAATTGACTGCGCGACTTGCCTGGATGCATGCCGGGTTCCCTACTGAGATTTTGGTGAAGTTTGGTGGTCTCACTAGGTTTCAAACATTCTGGGGTTATTTTTGGGAATCTAACCTTCCTGGTAAAAAAAAGTCGTACCCATCAGGAAGTAGTTCTCCTGCTACGAAAGGACTCGCCCTGCGCGGTTTTTACGGCGAGATATTGGCGTTTCATCTATCTCGACGTGTAGACCTGGGCCGCCGATAACTGTTGGAGTCTACAAAAGCCGTCGGGCGCAAACTTCGCGAAGACAGTTCTTCCAGTCAACAGCGGTCGTGTGGTTAATGGATAATTCCTCTTAGCAGAATTTGATTTCTGCCAAATTTTTGGACCAGCAATAAGTGAATAGAATTACTGTCCTAAACTCCATCCTAAACCGCTCCAGCCAAGTTCCCTTTCAGAGACCGATTTCTTGCCGACAATGTCGGGCATTACACCTCCACCTGTCAGAAACAGTTGAAAGTGTCATTTGGTGGCCATTGTTGCATAAACGTTACTGATGGATCACTCCGTGGCTTTGCAACAAACGTATTACCGTCTCCTTGTCATGAACGAGAGTTGAAAGCGTCAGAAAGTTTATTTAAGGTTTTACGTCTGAACGGAGAAAATGTTTGCACAAAATGAGCCTAGATACGGATAAGGAATAGTTTCCACCAAAAATAAGTCAAGGTTACGTGCGTACATTAAATTGGAGCTGGCGAAAAGTGAGGCGGGGCTTAACTTTTCGCACATGCACTTTTTGCATTAGTGGCGGAGCTTATCTGGAAAAGATCCGTGATGTCTTGTGATGAAAGGAAGTCTGTTCTATTGCCACTGTCCTTCGTTAGATGCAGTTTTTTGGTCCAGAAGTAAGGCTTGTACTTGCAAGAGTTTCTTAAAAGCGAAACATTTGGGCTCTCATACATATTTTCAATGAAGCAACCAAGTTCACTCACCTGAATACGTGTTTCTTTTGGTTCGTAGTTGACACCAGAGACATAGGATGATCAACATCACAGCTACGACCAGAAGCACCCCTGCGAGTGACCCCAGCACAACAATGATAATATGGTTTTCTTTTAAGTTAACCAGTTTGTGTTTTGCAACTGATTTCTGAGGTACCTCTGAATTGCCAGCGGTGTGGCGAGAGATAACATCTTCTACGGTTTTCTGTAAAAACAAATAGGGAGTATTTAGGCTTTTTAATTCAAAAATAATCCTTTTTGCTCTGTTCAAAGCATAATCGATTAGATTCTTTAGAACGGCTGGAGTGAACAACGCTCATCTGATGCCCACTCAGTCGCATCAGCTAACGTGTTTGTGGCGCTTGCCTCTACACTTGACCAGTCACGTGATCTGATAGGCACCTAATGCGCTTCTAATGATGGCAAACTGACATGACCAGTGCTCTTATCTCAGTATGAAAATGGATGCAATATGCGATGCTACCACAAGTAGAATACAATTACTGGATTGGTCTTTTGAGGACAGACAGGTGGCTGTTAAGAAATCTGAAATCCTGTTTTGGAAAGACCCAGCTTACTACGTAACGGAACGACAAAATTTCTTCAATTATCATTTCCGTTTGCTTTTGTTCATCGCTTGCATCTGTCGTGTCACTGTTTTTGTTCTACTGGATATGCCAGCTGAAAGCCGAGCATCAGTTCAACCTGAGAACTTCCCTTCGAGTGCACTTAGTCTTCCGAATTGAAGTTCACATCACAGTATCTATTAAATATCTGTAACACTTGTCCTATACAAATGTTCAAACATCCAAAACTTACCTGGTTGCTCCCGACTTTCGTGTTCTGTTCTGCACTACTGGCTTTCCTTGGTTCCGCTCTGGTTTCTGTGACATCTGCAGACGTCTTCTGAATTACGGTTTCACTCAAAAGGGTGAATCTGGGCGGTATTTTTTGGTTTGACAGGGTGTTGTTTTGTACAATAACGCCGTAGACTGCAACCTGAACAAGACGAGATAACAAAAATCCCGTTGAAATAAAAAATTTTGAAAGAGGAAATGGAATGAATTGTTCAGTCACACCACTGGTCATCGACGTTGGAAGCGAAAAGAGCTAAAAATGCGTACGGAATATCTAGGACTCATTGGGGGGTTAGCATTTTGAAAGCAATGGATAAATTTCAACTCCTCAGAAATCGAATCACAAGAAAAAACACAAATTTCATCAGTTGTCAAAGAAACTTCGAAGTGAGTGTAATTTACCCACGGAAGTTGTCTTTCAAAAATTCGTCTTCCAGCTGATGATAGGACTCCGTTGAGAACAGTTATTATTAAATAATTTATGACCTGTTACAGCGTTTCTAGTGGTCAGTTATCGTATCCAATCCCGTCCAATCAGTATCCCCTCGTTTTGGCTTTCGGTAGCAGCTACGCGGAAAGTTGTCATAGTGAAAG